AGGGCATCCTGCAATGGAAGAATGGCTTGGCGCATATGACGGCGTCCGCATGTGAAGTGACGACAGCAAAGTCATTGCTGACCACTTCGCGCCATTGCGTTGTATCTGTGCAGTCACTTACGGCGGTCGAGTATTAACCTGCGTTCTTGACCAAGGTGCATGGTCGTTGTCATGCCGTGCGCGATATGGCAATCATTAGGCATCGGCTTATGCTCGGATCACAAGCTCAACATGGAATCGGTAAATACATCTCGCGACGCTACACTTGGCGTCATTGAAAATGTCCCGCTCAACTTCAGTGGTGGTCCAATGTACTTCCAAGTACAGGTGACCAACCGCGCAACGTTCGAAGTTTTACTCGGTCGACCATTTTTCAAATTATCCTCTTGCCGCACTAACGATCTCCCTAACGGAGATCAAGATATTGTTATCACAGACCCGAACACGCACAAGGAGTTGCGCCTCCCGACCATTCCATGGGTCAAGCGCTGCGACCATTGTCTCAATGGCGAACATTGCGCCAAGCACTCCGCAAAGGCGAAAGCCGAGGAGAAGGGTTTTTAGGTATCGATGATCTGCAGTTGATGTGGGGAGACATCTACCTGCCGTTATTATATTCCGCTAACCATGTTTCCTCTTCGCATTATATTCCGCATCTCCGTTCAAGTGCCAAAGTGCTGCAATATGCGCACGCTGAGGGCAAAGCATTACCGCTCTTAAGGAGCAATATTGTTGTGTGAGGAATGATAGCCAGATGAGAAGGGGTGAAAGGGTGAAGTGGGGTAAAACTCAAATAGACCTCTGGACGTGAGTATAGATTCGGCCCAAGGGGATTGCTACTGAGAACGATTCCTCTAAGTAAAATATGGAGGGGAAACTTAGAAACTGGTAAGAGTAACTGAGAATGGAAGAACACACGACGTTGCACTTGAAGCGATGCGAGCATGAGCGAGCCGCCGAGGGTGCGATATGATGTGCGACCGAGCGGCCAAAAGTTTGACGGAGTGCGAAGGTGCGGAGAAAAGCCGACGGTTTATATAGACGCACATCTAGTGGATATGCGAAGGAGACACGACACAATGATAAAGAGGGAGGAGAGTTCTGACGATAGATGTGATGAGCGATGCGTGAATGATAGCGCGACCGTTAATACAGCGCGCGATGTAGTCGGCCGAAGATTTTTAGACTTAGAGTCTGAATGTTGCGTGCAAACGGATGATAATTTCGATAGCGGGAAAAGAAGATACATGAAAATTTCCCAAGTATAAAGTATATATGATAGCGCACGTAGCGCTGTTCAGAACCGAGAAGATAGCGGTAACACGTATTAAGGGTCCATAACGCAAGTAACGAAACATATGTGATATCACCTCCGAAAATATAATCAGTCTAATGCGAATGAGATAAAATACGCACCAATGGACAAGTGGAGGACATGGATAGGATGGAGGAGGATGCACGATGGAACCGACGAAAAGCGGATGCGAACCGAAGCGCGCGCTGCACTAGGACCTGAGAGACACTGCAAAAATAGCCTCTACAAGGCTACAAGGACTACAAGTCCTACATCACATCGTTTTCCATATCATCACATCGTCCACCGCCCCTGTTATCCGTTTTCCCTTCGCCTCCGCTTCAATCGGCGCATTATGCGCAACTAACATCCACCAGATCCGCCATTAATAAGGCGAATATTGCTGCTTTTAATGAGTGGTATTATTATGACCACGATTTGCACACGCTGGTATATAAACCAGTCGCAAAGAAAGTCCACATGGTACCGACGGCTATGCCAGCCGAGTATAGAATCGTGCGGCAATTGCCCGAAGACCCACTTGCTGGCTTGCCAGAATTACCTGCTCATCCTCCCGATTTTGTCCCAGGTACCCGCTTCACGCAAGAAAGAGCCAACAAGCTCGATCTTGATCCTGCCAAATGGCTATGGCCAGAAGAACTCAAGCTAGTACGATGGCTTGTTCTCATACATGAACTCACATTCACTTGGTGTGCCGCCAAGTGCGGCCGCCTCGACGAAAAATATTTCCCGCCATACAAGATACCTACAGTCCCGCACACGCCTTGGAATCAGCGCAACATTCCGATCCCACCAGCTATCGTCGGCGAAGTCATTCGCATTGTCAAAGAAAAGATCTCTTCAGGCATGTACGAGCCATCGATGGCCACGTACCACTCAAGATGGTTTTGTGTTGTAAAGAAGGATGGGAAGTCACTTCGGCTAGTCCATGACTTGCAGCCGCTCAACAAGGTAACAATTTGGGATGCATCGCTACCGCCGTTCATAGAGCATTTAGCCGCCGCTTTTGCGGGCTATGCAATCTACGCGATCCTTGACTTATACGCGGGTTATGATCAGCGAGCGCTTCAAATTGATTCGCGCAACCTGACGACCTTTGGGACGCCACTAGGCCCCCATCGGCTAACCACATTACCGCAAGGACATGCTAACGCCATGCAGGTATACCAAGGAGATACCGCTTTTATCTTGCAGCACGAGATTCCAGAGTTCACATCGCCATTCATTGATGACGTGCCGATCAAGTCAGTCAAGACACGCTACCAGAATGCCGACAGCACATACAAGACTATACCCAAAAACGCTGGCATCTGCCGCTTTGTCTGGGAGCACCTTATTGTAGTCAACCGCATCCTTCAGTGGCTGGAAAATGTCGGCGCGACAGTATCCGCGTCAAAGTTTGTATTAGCCGCGCCATCGGCGGTAATTGTCGGGCATAAGTGCACGTTCGACGGCCGAGTTCCAGAAGACTCGAAAGTTGAAAAGATTCGTAATTGGCCAGAGCCGAAAACCCAATCGCAAGTGCACGGGTTCTTGGGCACATGTGGTGTCCTCCATATATTCATCCGTGATTTCGTGCGCATCACGTGACCACTTACTAACCTCACCAGGAAAGATGTACCGTTCGAATTCAAAGACGAACATCGCGAGGCAATGGACTTACTCAAAGCCGCTATCGTTAACTTGCCGGCATTGCGCCCGATTGACTATGAGAGCGGCTGGGAAGTTATCTTATCGGTTGACACGTCCACCATTGCAGTTGGCTATATCCTGCTCCAAGTCGGTGAGGATGGCAAGCGCTATCCAAACTGCTTTGGCTCTATCACGCTCAGCGAAGTCGAAAGCCGCTACTTGCAAGCAAAGCTTGAGTTATACGGACTCTTCCACGCATTGCGTGCCATGCGCATCTTCATTTTCGGCGTTACCAACCTTATGGTTGAAGTCGATGCGAAGTACATCAAAGGTATGATCAATAATCCGGACTTGCAGCCCAACACGACCATCAATCGGTGGATCGCAGGTATCCTTTTATTTCCGATTAACCTTGTTCACATACCCGCTGCAAAGCACAAAGGCGCCGATGGTCTCTCAAGGAGGCTGGCTGCTGATGATGATGATCCTGAAGATGGTGACCATGAGGATTGGCTAGACCGAGCCTATTCCTTCGGCTTGACCTTGCTCAATGATCGCGCATTCACAATAGAATCTGCCGGAGCGCACATTATGTGAGTGGCGCGCCTAGCGCCGATTGTGATGCCGCCAAACCGCTTACCTATCCTTTGTGTCTTCTTAGATGTTGTCGCTCCATCAACCGACGAGCAAATCATTCCGCACTCAGAAGCTGCCATCGTGCTAGACGCAAAGCTCCTGACTCTCAAGCAGTTCCTAGTAACACGCAAGCACCCGTCAGGGTTATCAGACGAAGATTACACCATGATGGTCAACCAAGCAGCGCGATTCTTTGTGCTCAATGGCAATCTATGGCGCCGCCAGTGCCACGGTAAACACCAACTCGTCTTGACGCCGCCGAAACGCTATAACATTCTCAAACAAGCGCACGACGACCTAGGTCACAAAGGAGTATACTTCATGTCGATTTGCGACTTTGAAAAGCGCTTCCAAAATACCATCCGTGACATGACCATGCGCCCAGCACTTTAGTGTTGGTGCGCAATTCCAAGGTCGAGTACAAGTTGAGCAAGAAGACGAAGCCATGGTACTTGGGACCTATGATCGTAGTGCGCCACACGAAGGGAGGCTCATATATTCTGGCCGAGTTGGACAGCGCTATATTGCTCTTACACTACGCAGCGTTCTGCGTAATCCCCTATCACCCATGCAACAGTGAGCGTGTTATGGTAACAAGCGTCACCGGAAAAGATGACGAAGCGCTAGATCGGCTAGCCAATGAGGATATTGAGGAACTGGACAAAGACGAACCAGAATGCGCGCAAGATGATTAGTGCATACACCCCTTCCCGAATACCACCCAACACTCCACCTGTAAATCACCGCTCCCGCATCAATAAAATCGAAAATACCAAAAACATCAAAATAACAAGAATACCGCAAAAATATACCACTATAGTACATACTCTCTGTTTTACCCTGGGTTTCGGCCAGTGACTGTTTTCTCTTATTTTCCCATATAACCGCACATAAGCGCATTGACCGCACATATTCAACAGACTATATCGCTACTGCACCGCAAAGCAATAATAACGAATCAAGGATATATATAACACATAACATTCCAGTAGACGCGCGCGCTAACCCCCTAGACCTTTCCATTTCTAACGCGCGCTGCCGCGCCGTGCACATTTTACTATAGACTTACAGATCTCACCTCTAATCAGCCGCGCCATCAGCGGCCAAAGCAAGAGTAGACACGATAGCCGCATGAAGAAGACAAGTCGGGCGCGCAACCCGCAAATGTTCCGTATTCATTTCCAATTGTTTTTTTTTTGCCACCGCACTCAATTACTTACTATCGTTTTAATCCTATCTATAGCCCAATGGACTTAGCAGATCTGGACATGGGATATGGATTTGGACATGGACAGAACACGACAGGACTATTCTATTGAGTGCACCAGGCGCAGGAGAAAAACAGAGACACTATAGTACAAGGCACTTTGGCGCCAGCAAGAGACTCTAATCTAACAAGTATTCTAAGAAGTCCCTCTTAATCCTCTAAGATCTCCCCAAGCTCCTTCTCCCAATTCCCCCAGTCATGCGCCAAGATATAGAGCTGGTTGCTCATGTGGAGCAACTCGGACTCCTGAGTGCACGTGTGTTGGCGCATATCGATCAGCGCAAGGCGGTACTTATCATTCTGTGCACAGAGCTTAGCGTTCTTGGCACGAAGACGGACAGCTTCCATGCGCGCTTCTTCCAACTTGGGGTCAGCTTCCAGACGAGGGTGCTTGGCCGCAGGAACAGCGCCGGAGTTGAGCACACGCTTTGGATGCTGCATGACAATGTCCTTGGAAGGACCAGCAGCAGGTTCATCGGCTGTAGCCTCACCCACAATCTCCACCTCCGACTCACCAGCATCTGGTGCAGTCGTTTGCACAGAAGGCAGTGCCTTGCGCTTGGGCGCAGCCAGTGCACGTCCTTTGTTCTTAGCCGCGACTAAAAAGAAAAGAAACATCGCATCAGTAAAAAGCATAAGCAAAAGAAGGGACAGCACAGACTCACCGAACGAACAGCCTTTCCGTGCCTTGATATGCCCTTCACATCTCCCGCCCGCATGCATGACGACGCACTTGGCGCTGGATGTGGCGCAGCGTTCACAATGCTCAGCGGGACAATTGACTGAAGGTCGCGGTCATCCGCCCACCCAAATGCTAGAATGACACATCAGCACAAATGAAAAAGGCAAGAAAAGAAAAATGAACTTACCGGTCACCCCATATCAGCCAATACAGGCTCCGCCACCTTCTCAACTGTCTTCTCAGTCGCGATGACCTCCTTACCCTTTCCTTTGTCGGCGCGCGCCAGGCGCGCAGTCACCGCAGACTCTTCTGCCTTCTCCTTCCAAGCCTTCACGGCTCTTGTCAGTGTCCTCGCAGCAATTTTGCCCTCGGCCAATGTTACAGCATCCACGTCATTAAGGGACATGTGCAGTGAAGCTGCACACGCCTGCTCATAGACAACGGTCATATTGGACTGACAACGTGTCGTTAGCAAAGAGTAAGCATATAAAAAGAGACACGCCACTCACCATCATGACATTCCAGTCGTGGAGCCAAGACTCCTGCTCCTCCAAGGGCTCTGGCTTGGAGGGAGGAGCAGTGTCCACGCAGACGTGCATAGTATTGAGCATGGCAGCCCAAGCATGTTCCACCCGGTCGGACTCAGACTCCTCGGGCTCCTTTGGAGCCGCATCATCAAGAGTGGCGTCATCAACGGATGCATCGCCACCCTCTAGTGGGTGCTCCTCAGGTTCGGGTGAGGGAGAAGGAGAAGGAGACGCAGTCAGCATAGATGGGTTAAAGATGGTGGAGGACATGGTAGTGTGATATGAAAAGATAATCGCGAAGTTTGCGATGAGAAGTTGGGAAGAAGAGAAGCATGGCACGTGATGTGTTTTAATACATCAAAATTGGCCACAGTTCCCATGGTTGGCGCTCCACATATCCGTGGTCCACTATTGTGCCCCACATACAGTGCGAAATGCACACGGTCACGTGACTTATCTCATCGAAATTTCGCTAAGTCCCTCCGCTCTATAGAGGCTGACTGGGGACAGTCAGGATTTAAAGTTTGTATGTGATGTAGGACTTGTAGTCCTTGTAGCCTCGTAGAGGCTATTTTTGCAGTGTCCCTCAGGTCCTAGCGCAGCACGCGCTATCACTACCACGGCGCACATCCTTCCTATCATCAGCTGATGGCTACGTCTCACACGCGCACTTTGGTTCACATCCGCTTTTCATCAGTTCCATTGCGCATCCTTCCTCCGTCCTATCCATGTCCTCTGCTTGTCCATTGGTGCGTATTTTATCTCATTTGCATTAAACTGATTATATTTCCGAAGGTGATATCGCGTATGTTTTGTTACTTGCATTATGGACCCTTAATACATATTACTGCTATCTTCTTGGTTCCGAACAGCACTACACATGCTATCATATATACCTTAGACTTATGATTTTCCATGTATCTTTTCTTTCCCGCTATCAAAATTATCATCCATTTGCACGCATCACTCAGACTCAAAGTCTAAAACCTTCGGCCAACTACATCACGCACTGTATTAATGGTTGCACTATAACGTTCGAACTTCGCTCATTGCACGCATCGTCAGACTCTTCTCCCGCTCTATAGTCGCATCACATCTCCTTCGCATATCAGCTAAAAGTGCGCTCATAAATCCTTCGGCTTTTCTCCGCATCTTCACATGCAGTCAAATTTTGGCCGCTCAGTCGCATATCGTATCGCACCTTCGGCGGTTCGCTCGTGCTCGCGTCGCATCAGTGCAACATTGCATGCTCCTTCATTCTTAGTTACTCTTACTAGTTTCCAAGTTTCCCCTCCATATTTTACTTAGAGGAATTGTTCTCAGTAGCAATCCCCTTGGGCCGAATCTATACTCGCGTCCAGAGGTCTATTTGAGTTTTACCCCACTTCACCCTTTCTCCCCCTTTCTCCCCTTCTCATCTAGCTATCATTCCTCACACACAACGCAGATGTGAGAGAGGTCCGGTTTGCGACCGTTGACCATTTCGAATGGTGTGACATCAGAGGGCAAGGCACATGAAGCACTGCGATTCCAAAGATAGCATGCCGTCAATGCAGCTTCCCCCCACAGATTTGTAGGAAGCCCTGCGGCTTCTAACATTGCAAATAGATGCCCTTTGATAGTGCAAATGGCTCGCTCGGCTTTACTGTTCTGCTGGTGCACATATGGCGCAGAGAGTTGGCGTTCAATTCCTGAGTCCTCGAGTGCTTTAGTGAAGGCGTTACTTAAGAACTCCCTACCATTATCTGAACGAAAAACTTTAACCATGCGCCCCAAATGGTTCTCCCAATGGGCCTTAATAACATGCCATGCGTCTAGAGCCTGGTCCTTGGTGGCCAGAAGTTGAATGTTGCGAAGATTCGTGTGATCGTCCAGAAAGATTATAAAGTGGTGTTTTCCATGAGGAGTTACGATGGGGAATGGACCACACAAATCCGAGTGAACAAGATCCAACATATTATTGGTACATGGTTCTTCTGAAGGAGAGTAGGGCTTGCACGGGTGTTTCACCATGATGCATGGTTCACAGCGCTGAAGAGGAGCAGTAGAGTTGAATGTGATGCCGGTAGCAATGTGCTCGAGTCGTTTGATGGCCACCTTTTCTCTCAGAGGCTCAAAGTGTGCCGGCGAAGTGATGTTTGGATGGATGAATTTCAGGTCGACAAACAACAAGTTCCCGGTCATTGGGACTTCCCCTAAGATCTCACCATGATATTTTAGCTGACAATGCGCTGGTGAGTGCTCAAAATTACAAGACCACTTCCTCTTCAACATGTGTCCTACGGAGAGGAGATTGATCATGGCACCGGGCGCATGCAAACAGTCCATGAAGGTGATCCTGAATGTCCGTCCACCTAGCGTTAAGTCTGCGACACAGTTTCCTCGCCCAGAGGTCGCCAAACTGCCATGATTAGCGGTCTTGACCATTACTCGAGAGCTCTCAGAGTAGGTCCAGAAGTAGCTACGATCGGCAATGAGATTTGAGGTAGTCCCTGACTCAAGTATGGTGGAGAGGGTCTGGCGCACGATGCAGGCCATGTTGTTGAAATTGGGAAGGGATTCGGGGTCAGGTTCGAGATCCTCTATGAGGGCACATGTAAGGTTGCAAAATTCGTCAGCAACAGCACTAGTTGCAGTGGCAGAGTATGTAGGAGGGTTAGAAGGAGGAGCTGCAGTACTATCAGCGGCTGCAGCAATGTCTTGCTTCTTTGGCTTCCAGTCACGGCTTCTATTACCTCCTTGACCTTCCATGCCCCCACCAGTCTGGAAGCAATGTTCTCAGTCGTGCGTAAGTGAGCGTGGAAGTCCAGTGCATAAAGGATTGTTGCAGCTCACCCCCTTGGGGTTGAACTTGTGAATTCGGACACCTGTCTTAGGGTTTGTTTTTGCATCCAGGAATGACTTAAACGACATGACATTGGCATACTCGGATCCTGGTCTGTTTAACTTGTGTTCTCCCCGCAGACAATTAGCTTCTTCAGAGAAGGATGTCAGCACTGCAGAAAAGGTCATCTTTGCAGTGACAGCAGCGGCTGAGACTGTGGTAGAGGAAGTGGACGCCACAGGCAAGGGAGTACTATATAAATTCATCGTCATACGTTTGAAGATGAGCCAGTCTGGAGTGTGCGGAAGGCCGTGAAGAAGGAGAAATACTAGTTCATCCTCGGTCACTACAATGGCCATCTCCGCAAAATGATGCCTGGCATTTTCGAACGTGCTGATGTAATGGGGTGTGTCATCAGGATCCTTGAGTTTTTCGGCAAATAATTGTGCACGAAGCTCAAATTGGGATGTGACATCAAGTCGTCCAAAGTGAGTCTCCAAGGTATTCCATTGTTCTCTCGCAGTCCAGGACTCACTGAGGAGACCTTGGACAATGGCAGAGAGCTTTCTACAAATGATGCCCTTAGCCTGCGTGTCCTCTTTGATCCATTCGATTGCGCTTAACTTCTCAGCAGCGGTGGGAGAACCAACGATGGCTGGTGAAGGCATTGCTAAAGCAAATTCTGCATAGTTGTTAGGGTCAGTGCCAGAACTGCAATGGTTCCATAGTCCATCTCCTTGATAAGTGGGAGTGACCGCACGACGCCAAGAAGGATAGTCGTCTGCACCAGTCAGTTCAATAATGAAGTCGTATTTCCCTATGATGGAAGTGAATGGATATGTATGCCCACAGTGGGGAGTGTTTGTAGTTCGTGCAAGAACAGTCAGCTTCCTGGATCTGAGCTTTGTTTAGAGCTCAGGGCTCATAACCTGTAGGGAGCTAGACATGGAGTAAGGTCTCAGCGGACGGTAGAGAAACACCTATATTAGTTATGTACCTAGACACGGAGTAAGGTCTAGATAACACGTTAACAAGACAGAATACAAGCGACAGGACATATACATACCTTAGCAGACGGTAGAGAAATGCTAAGGTGAAGTGCATATGAAGGAGGGATTAAGTACCAAGTATCAAGAAGTCCGAGACAGAAAGAAGCAGAAGTCCAAGATGGAGAGAAGCTACGGACATGGAAAGAAGCAGAAGTCCGAGATGGAGAGAAGCTACGGACACGGAGAGAAGCTATGGACAGCATGAGGTGTCGAAGGTGGCAAGAATTGATAAGGATCAAAAAGGAAAAAGGAAAACTTGCAAAGGCACCCAGAGGTTAATCCTCCGGGACTCATACCATGTGGATGCTCTCTCTTATCGCCAACAATGATGTTTACAACTTCATGTAAGCTAGGCAATAGGAGGGTATCCTGTTATAATTATCAATACAAACCCAGGGATAGTAACAGGATATTCAGTGAGGATTCCTAGCCTCTATAATAGTATGTATATAGGCTTCTTTGTATCAATACTTATGCTAGGGCTGAAAGACAAGCTGAAAGTGTGAAAGCAAAATGGCATAACAAGAGACCAGAGGAAGTTAGATGATATGCAGGTGTTTGAATGCAATTTGTGCAAATATTAGTGTGGCCAATAAAGATGCATGCGTGGAAGTTTGCCCAAGGTTTATATTTTGAGTTGGGGCATTATAGCATGCAGATGGAGGATAAATTCCACAGAGAAGATAAATAAATACATAAAAATTGTAAGTATGAATATATATGTGAGTGTGCTGTAGCACTGGCCCCTGGCTGAGCTCATATTGGCTTATTTTGTTACATCTTTATTTACAGTCATTTTCCTCACAATAGGTTTGCACTTTTACTGCTTACCTAATTATCTTTTCCTTCACCTAGTACCCTGACACCTGCACTCCAAACCCTACACAGTTTCTACTGAATACTCACTGTTTTGCTATCCCAGTATGCCTGATGCCTCCGATAGGTAGTTATAGGCTGTAGTTCTGTCGAAAGCTCCTGGTATTAGATTCCCCACTTCCTACCTGCTGTCTAGGAATTACTATTTGCTGTGTTTGCATCACTTTCACTTTCACTTCCTCCTGAGCTCTGGCCTCATCAGAAGCCCTTGGGCTGAACATACTGCTTCCCTGTACTTGCCCAGCCCATATCTTTCTTTTACAGTGCCAAAGAGCTATTCGTAGCCGAGTAGGTAGCAGTAATACATATGTAAGTAGGGTCCATAATGTGATAATGAGAACATAAACAATATTGCTGTAACACTCAGATCAGCATTGGGTTCGTATCCTGCCAATCTCATAGGTATTCCACATACACACTCCTCGACACTCCTCTTACCTTCCGAGAGTTCTGTGCATTCGTCCATCCAATTCTGAGGCCTGTATACAGTTCCGATCCCCCGTACCATGTCCCATCCGTGT